ATATTAGCTAAGCGTAAATAAAACAAAATTTTGAGATATTTTGATTTTTATAAGGCTTTAAAGCTGATAATTTATAATTAAAAACAAGAGGATTTTTTTTGTATTAAATATTTAAATATTGTTTAATATGCGGTGAGAAACAGATTTCTTGAAATTATTATAATGAAATATTTCCTAGAACTATACTGGATCGGACGATTCAAAGACTAGACGGTAGTTCGGGTACAATGATACACAGTTATATGTAAATTCAGCGATCTACAGTAAAGTGTGCGGTGAGTCATGGAAATAGAATTTGATCCGTATTTGCAAGATTGATGTGTCACGCGGTTTCACGTCTTAAATCAATAATTTACTTCAAAATATTTTTTAAATTAATTTAGATGATATATGATTTTTTCAAAATTATATACTACTGGACGTATTTTACATTTTTCTAATAATATTACATATCACATTCTGTTTGAAAGAATATTGTTTACCATTAAATGTTGATGTAAAATATTTCGCAGACTGATGTCAATTTAAAATAGATATATTGTGAATATCAATTATATTTTTTTCGATACGAGTTATATCAATTATATATCATTTCACATTTATTTTAAATTGAAACATTATTTTGTTTTAAAAACAAATTTCACAAGTATTTACAGAGAATACTGCAAATACTGTATATCAAGTCTATCGTCCAGAATGTATATTTTTGTTCTGCCATCAGAGCGTATCAAAGAAGCTTTATATACACACATCGACCGTTTCAATATCCTGTCATGTAGAATGGCCATCTACCGTATTCTAATTGAAAGTTTGAACCAAGCTCATGGAAACTGCGTGCATTCGTCATGTCATTAATTACGGGAGATTATAAGTCACTCGTACGTATCAATTCATGCTATATACATAGCAGTACTTGCCAATAAGTTGACCATTACATCTTTTAATATATTCTTCACACACACTCAGTCTTCTTAGATTGCACATTATTTTGATATTACGAACAAATATTTACAATCTCATATCGAATTTATCATATGAGTATCATATGAGTTACGATAATATATTTGACATAATAAAAATTTAAATATTTTACAATTAAAATTCTCTTCCGCTATATATATATATATATACAATTTGCGAGATATTTGCGTGCGTCACTATAAATGCCGCACCCTGTATAGACTGCAACCAAGCTATATTTCACGAAAGATATAATACATATAACGCGGAAATGACGATGCATTTTATTTTCCGTCGTAGAAGCGAAAATGCATCGCAAAATTCCAACGTGCATTCACGACAGAGTGCACTTCAATAATGTGGTATTAAAGGCCAATGGAGATAGAGATTCGCTCAGGCCGCACTAATAAGCTTTTGTTACTGAGCGATGAAGTGTACTGTTGCGACACCGCGATTTTTTTTCACGATTCTAACAAAATACAATGATAATGCGAACGATGCATCGTATATCGCCAGTTGACTCAATTTACGCATTTATACATACAGAGACTAGATATACGAAGGCGCGATAAGGGAAGTCTCTTATTGGATCTGCTCGTACATCGACAAACAGACGATCCGATATCTCGGGGATTTGGAATGATAATGTGTGTGTGTGTGTATGTATATCGGATTTTTTTAACCGAAGCTCTCGAGAAGTTTACATAACAGAGTGTCGACGTTTTTCTCCCCACTCTCACCCCTCTATTTTTCTCGCTTCTGGCGACGAGATAAGCTACAAGAATATGCAATAAAAAAAGGGGGGGTTCCATTTAAGAAAATATCGATCACATTGACTTGGCCTTGAAAAGGTCACTCAAGGTCAAGTCCATATTTTCATCATGTGTCCTCCTCTGAACCCTACAACTTTTGTATAAAACATTTTTTTCCATCTTGCTTACTTTGCGAGATATTTGCGTGCGTCACTATAAATGCCGCACCCTGTATAGACTGCAACCAAGCTATATTTCACGAAAGATATAATACATATAACGCGGAAATGACGATGCATTTTATTTTCCGTCGTAGAAGCGAAAATGCATCGCAAAATTCCAACGTGCATTCACGACAGAGTGCACTTCAATAATGTGGTATTAAAGGCCAATGGAGATAGAGATTCGCTCAGGCCGCACTAATAAGCTTTTGTTACTGAGCGATGAAGTGTACTGTTGCGACACCGCGATTTTTTTTCACGATTCTAACAAAATACAATGATAATGCGAACGATGCATCGTATATCGCCAGTTGACTCAATTTACGCATTTATACATACAGAGACTAGATATACGAAGGCGCGATAAGGGAAGTCTCTTATTGGATCTGCTCGTACATCGACAAACAGACGATCCGATATCTCGGGGATTTGGAATGATAGTGTGTGCGTGTGTGTATGTATATCGGATTTTTAACCGAAGCTCTCGAGAAGTTTACATAACAGAGTGTCGACGTTTTTCTCCCCACTCTCACCCCTCTATTTTTCTCGACACTTCTGGCGACGCCTTAAGCGAATTTATTTACAAATGAATGCCAATCACATATACTTAACGGGTATCTCGCATCCGGCTGTTACAAAATATTCTAATGTCGATTCTTTTGAGAACTCGCGGAAATTATTTTCGTGACACAAGTGCGCCGAAAAAACGAAAGTCGAATAATTGTAGTGAAATCTTACGGATCTCACGGTATTTCCGCTAAATAAGCTTACAAATGTTTAGTTGCTAAAAATGATTTTAGATAAATCACTCTTTAAAGAGAAATCAAAACAGCGTGGCTTTTTTTATATGGCTTATACATTTTAATAAATTTGTCATTTAAGTGATGATTCATATTTATAGAGCTCATCTTCTATTTTTCACTTCGACTTTATTATTTTCTTATAAACATCGCATCTTCTATTTCTTCGCGAAATTATATCTTTATATCGATGAAGTGTCAAAATAGAATCGAACTTTTTTTAAGATCTGACAGAAATATATTTTGACATTAAATTCTTACCGATCAATATCGATTGAACTATAGGACAAATTAAATAGATTGCTACATGGAAGCTCACGAGAAAGGGTCGGACGAAGCGGAAGTTTGGCACACTTACCAACATTGCCACGGGTATCATCGATGTGATGACCTGTTCGTTTCGTACAAGTGCGAGTAGGCGTGTCGGTTTCCTCCGAATACAAAATTCGCATCGCTTCGGTAAAGAAACGTCGCACAAAAGCGTACGCAACGTTGCGTGCACGCACGACCGACCGTAAAATAGCATGGTGGTGAGATCGTTGCCGGCCAGATTTTACAATTGTTGAACTCGTATTAATTGAATTCAAGTTCAACTATAACGAGCGAAATGCCCACTAAAATATTATTGAATAAATATTAATATTTTATATAGATACATTTTATATAGATACATTACGTGATATGACGCAATTTCATAAAATAATCATTTTAAAACAAAAAAAAATATTCAGGGATAAGAACACAATTTTCATATTGTACATCTATATTTTATTTTATTTTGTGATCGTTTATTATCATATTTTGCCTATATGTGATGCAAATATCATCCTTTACTGGCAGGATTATTTTTTTGCTTTACGATTTATAATATCACGGTTACATTTAACTGGTTATACAATCTGTGCTATCTCAATTTGCTGACATTATTCCCATAAAACATACATAGGTGCGCCAAAATCCATGAATACAAAGTTCATGCCTAATAAAGTAACGTTGTAAATGGACGCGTATTCCCTGCATGCGGGATGAATTAGGGCCATTTATCGAACGCACAATCGTAAACAGGTGCAGCTAATGAGGACAAGGGCCTCGAATTGTGTACGCGGATACACGTGTAATCGACCGTTAAGTAATTTACATCCGTGACAATCGTACGCTTCGCTTAATCTCATACAATTTTGTCAATAAAATTCCGATTAATCTCTCCGGGAATAATTACGATTAAAATTAGCTCTTTATATGTATGAGAAATCTAAGATTTTAATAAATTTATGTTCATTTTTTGGCACACAGATGTGTAAGAATTGAAAACGTAGAGATCAGCTAATTAATAATTGATGCCTTCTTTTAATGAACAATAACATATTTGAACTAGTGTTTAGTTAATAATAATAAAAATTTATTTAATTTTTAATTATGTTTTTAAGAGTAAGAAATGTTAAAAATTTTCTAGTCGATTCAATGTAAGCTTTCCACAAATATTTTAATAATATTATCGTTTATATAAACAATTTATACTGATTAATCTAAGATCTAAAAGCATTTATCTCGGATAAAACTTCGAAATATCTCACTATTCAAGTGGCGAAGCAGCATATATTTCCCTCGAAATCGATGATGTATGCGATGATGATCCGTTCGAATCAACTCTTAATGCAGCACGCGAGGATATTGATGTGCACGTAAAGATCCCGACAATCTCCAACTGAGCGCTTTGTTGCGACAAGCTTTGATCACGCTTTCTCGCCACGTTATAGCATTAGATTGAATTCAGATCGTTTCTAATCGGGCATCGACATACGCCTAATTGCAATGTCGTGTCGGTAGAGCACGGAGAATAATAAGGGATCAGCCGTTTCATCTTACGTTGCTTCATATAAATTCGTTAAGCCACTTGTATTTAGAACAAGTCTAGAACAACCTGGAACAACCTTTAGAATTTTAAAATTTCAGAAATGGGGTGCTAACTTCACGCAGGTACTTGTATCTCGATTTAGAAAGCTTATCTTTTACATATTGAAAATTTATATTATTTATTTAATAATTTATAGATATCTCATTATATATCGTTAATAATATATTGTATTTAATATTATCGAATAGCTATCAACAATTTTAACATCATGCACACGAAATATTAATATCAATTAAATAGAAAAGATATTAAATTTTTTGTATATATCTATTGTACGAGTATAATATATATATGAATTACAAACTTCTAATTCTTATTTTATACGGAATGGATATTTTTTCTTGTGTTACAGGCTGAGTCCGAAGTCGCAGCCTTGAATCGCCGTATCCAGCTGCTGGAGGAGGACCTCGAGAGATCCGAGGAGCGTCTTGCCACTGCCACTGCCAAATTGGCAGAGGCGTCGCAAGCTGCCGATGAGAGCGAACGGTAAATATCCGCTATCATTCAAAAATATTACGAGTATTTTTATTTGAACGGTCATTATCATATATTATCTACAATGAACAATTATATTATTAATAAATCAAAGTTAAAAACAAAATGCATAAACATATCTCGATGACTATTTAATCGATACAATTTATAATAATGAAAATACATATTTATTTTAATTTGATAGAAAATAATTGCTCATTGTCAGATACTTTTATTTTTTCAAAGAATGATTAAGAGTAACAGAAATATTACGATTAATAGAATATTGTACGATTAATTAGAATTTATTAAAATTTTTTAAAATTTTTGTGGCAAGCCGTGATGATTGTTATTTAATAATCGTTAATTGTTGACGAAAATATTTACGCAGAATAAGATATATTATAATTTGCTCTTGATCGTTCTTATGTGTTACATATGAATTATCGTAATGAAAAAGGAACGACAAATGAAACACAAAAGTGGTGTAAATCAGTATTTTTACTGTTTTAATTTAATTTAATTATTTTATAGAATTAAAATAAATAATGTGTTAATAAAATACCTTTTTTTTATTATAAACAATATACATATACAATATTATATGTTATAACAACATAGTAGATTAAAACTTGAAAATTTCTCTTTCAACTAAATTTTGCAATATTAAAAAATATGGAGAGATTTCTCTCTTTCTCTCTCTCTCTCTCTCTCTCTTTTCCCAGAAGTTACTATATGTACATAACTTATACCACTTTTGCTATATAAAATTATTATATATATTCTATATGAATATTAATATGGAATTACAATAATTCTGAGTATATGTGTGGATGTGTTATTCTTTTGTTTATAAAAAAATATTTTATACTATGTCGAGAATTAATTTTGTGTCGCATTGAAAGGATTGATCCGAAAGAATGGAAATCTCTTCATTCATTCTTTCTTTGATTTAATTATAGAATCGCGGTGCAACGTAATTTCGTTATGACTAGTAACATGCCAAATATAGACTCGAACGCAGTAGTCTTTTAACATTCAGTTACACGTATATAATTATGATAAGTGCAAAAATTAGAGGAGTATAATCATTATACCAATTTCGTCATATTGTTTTTATTATATATATATATATATATACATGCAAGAGTAGGTGTTTAATTGTTACAGAAATAAGAATACGCAATAGAATATGCAATCATACGTCAATTCTTGCATTGTATATAATTTAAAAAATAGTGATAGCTAAAAAGAAGTTTGCGCGATATTTTTTCTCTTTTGCATCTTTAAAATATGAGATTTTGCGGATTTTGAACGCCACATCCTGACCTGCTTTTTATTGTAACGTACGTGTTATATCCACCGCGACAATAATTTCGCTTAACTTCTTACATAAGACGCACATTTTTCCTAATTTTTACTCTACAATCGAGAATAATTCTGGATATCTACACTTTTATGCTTATTATTTATTGCTTGAAAATTACAATTCAATTTCTACGACGTCGAAAAATTTGAAACACACGCATTTCTTCTAATTGAATCTCTTTCTCTCTCTCTGATTTTTATTATGTCTACATGATGTAGAACGCGCGCGCGCGCGTAAAGAAATATTGAATATTAAGGGTGGTCATTGAATCCATCTGTAATTTTGAAAGCTTAATCGCCCATCATGATTACTTTACGACAGTACGTAAATGCTTAAAATAACGCTAGGCTTGCTTATCAGCGTTGATAACGAATGACGTGTGCGCGTTCCGCACTTCTTGCTACAACATACATATTCTCTCACCTTTCCGAGACAAATTGTCAATATATTAATTTTTTAGAGATTTGTTAGAGAGATCACTAGGCCATAAAAAAGGATGTGGAATTTAAATGCATATTACTGTTTCAATTAATATATATACATATATTAATTATATGCAAACGTAATAAATTCAAATAAATTCAAAAGAACTGCGAAAAAAAGAAAAAATAGAAAATGCAAATGTTTCATGCTTAAATTCATCTTTATATTGTTTTCACATATCAGTCAATAATGCAAGGTTTAAAATCGATCAAAGATTGAGAAAATAATCGCGTTTTATATGCGATAATGATAATTCTTTCAACCGCGATTGATTTGTTTCTAAAAATCGACAAATAATCGATCGTTAGGATACGCAAGGCCCTCGAAAACCGCACCAATATGGAGGACGACCGAGTATCCTTGTTGGAGCAGCAGCTAGCACAGGCTAAACTGATCGCAGAGGAGGCGGATAAAAAATATGAGGAGGTGGGTCATGTATCAACGAACAAAGAGCAATAGAAAAGGGGCAAAGGGCCCTTTATTTTCCTTGTCGGAGGCAAACTACCAATCGTTAGGACATTTAATCAGTGATACTTCGCGTTTTATTGTTTTTGCTTCCTCATAGAGGAAGCTTTGTTTTCGTGACAAAATTTTTTTTCGAGTTTTCTATGCCACTGTGTTTAGAATGTTCCAAAACGTCGAAAAATCATATTCCTAAAAAATGTATGTATGTATGTATGTATGTATGTATGTATGTTTGTGTGTCTGTGTGTATGTGTGTATGATGTATGTACGCAATATATTGTACAACCTCTAACTTCCGCAATTTTTGAGATATCGGGTTAAATTTTTTTTACATGGATAGAGTATCATTCAAGGATGATTGGTATTGAATTTGGTGAGAATCGATGAAAAGGCTCATTTTTTATAAAATTTTTAATTTTTTGAGAAATATTTGTATACATTGTAACTTTCGCAAATTTTGAGATATCAGGTTAAATATTTTTACATGGATAAAGTATTATTAAAGGAAGGTTGCTACTGAATTTGGTGAGTATCGGTGAAAGGGTTTATTTTTTATAAAATTTTGAATTTTTTGAGAAATGTTTGTACACGCTGTAACTTTCGGAAAATTTGAGATATCGGATTAAATTTTTTTACATGAATAGAGTATTATTAATGGATGGTTGGTACTGAATTTGGTGAGTATCGGTGAAAGGGTTCATTTTTTATAAAATTTTGAATATTTTGAGAAATGTTTGTACACGCTGTAACTTTCAGAAAATTTGAGATATCTCATAAAGCTTCCTCTATGAGGAAGCAAAAATTGAAAAATCCGCATGCTTAAAGCAGCTTAAGCTTTGTAAGATAAAATGATGAGGAAGCAATGTGCAAGTTTCTAATTTGCACAACTCTACTTGTTTTACGAATGTAGAACTATTTATTTACTATTTGTTCAAATATTTTTTCCATGAAAGAAAAATAGTAAAATAATTTACGAAAAAAATAAGACTTTGCTCTTTCCGTTCATTTAGACAGTTTATTAATAATCCGGTATAAATACAAAGGATTGTCCAGATCGGTCGGTAGTTCTCCTTCCTTTTCTTTCAGGAAATTTCACAGGTAGATGCGGCATTGCAGCTGAGCAGAACGGGCATACTTCGACGATCTCGTCGGAAACCTATTTTTTAATTTAATCTATTTGTGTAATTGATTTTTAATCGTAAACTCTTTCGTTCGACATGTGTTCACCTTAAAGCGCCCGCAAGATTCTCGAGAATCGCAGCTTGGCGGACGAAGAGCGCATGGACGCCCTCGAGAATCAGCTGAAGGAGGCCAGATTCCTCGCCGAAGAAGCTGACAAGAAATATGATGAGGTTCGCGTGCCCGCGACTACTAGTGTCAAGCGTGTTGGCTGCAGTGACGATGATAATCATCATAACGATGATGGTTCCTAGTCGATAGTCAAAATAGTGCCTAACCCTGTAACTCTTTGTCTTCTCTTTGTGTGCTCGAAAACACCGTGGTTCGATAAGTACGCGTCTCTATCGCGAAAAAATATATAATATGAAGATATACGTATCTCACGTTTGTTAAATCGTTTGTTAAAAAAAAGGGGGGGGGGTATCGATCGCGTTATAAAATGCGAGTCGACCTTATCGCGATAAGATTTTCTGTTGAAAGTAAAAGAGTTAAAGAGGCGAGACGCTTGTCTCGCAGTGAAATATCGAAATATTAAGGGCAATTCGTGAATGTCGATCTGTGATTGCATTGGGCTGCGAATCAAAGTGAAAAGTTTTTTTTTAGAAGAGTTTTCGTGTTCGTCGGACAGTGCAGTGTTTTAAAGATCATTCTTTTGGTCTCCGAGTATATAGAGGATCTATAGAGATCTGTCACGCGAGAAAGAAAAGCGAAGGAAAAGAGATATGATATGCATACGATGCTGATGCAGTGTTCACGTGTTTCGAGCGCGACTCAATCGAAAATCAGATATCTGTGATTTCCAAGTGTTTTCTCTGTTCGGTTAAGGCAAGATGTCTCAAGTGCCAGTTTTATAATTAGGATTTAATCCTGTTGTTATTATATTCTTGTTATTAGATATTTCTAGATTAGGGGAAGTCGCATACGACCAAATTCGCGACAAAGTCCGTAGGTGCGCTGTTTATGATAGTTTGATAGTTTCTTCAACGGGAATGATATTGTCATAAAAGTTGGATCGCGTGCTCTCGGTTTGTTGTTTGCCGTTTACTTACCCGCGAGATCGGCTGCGCCAATTTAACAAAAATATCTTCAATTGTGTTGTGATAAAACGGCGGGAGACCGCACGATCTTATCGCGGCTTCGCGTCAACGATATCATACGGTGCTGCTTTTGCCCAAAGACGCTCGTTTCGCTTTACTGACGAATTTGGAACATGTGCCAAAAAAAATAATGAAAATTATGATGGTAGGTAGTGATCGCGTTTAACGTTGAAATTACGGTGATACACTTTACTGTTTACCTGTCCGTCTGGGATTACAGTATTATCTCTAGTATTATCTTGGGATAAGATATATCGTAGATATATCTAGATATAGCTTCAAAACTTTTTCCAATCATACGCATAATATACATTTGCTAAGAGAGCAGATTATTTATGTAGTTGAAAATTTATCAATGCAATTGTATAATTTAAATATTTAATGTAAAGTAGAAGGCATCTCTTTCTTCTCTTTTTCTTCTGCAATATTAATTACTTTCATGAAAAATGCCAATTTTATTTTATCTTCAAATTATTGCAAATTGACGTTTTATTATTTATTATCGGATATTATTTACAATTCTGCGATTTTTTACTAGGGCTTCTAAATTCACCGTAACTTCAATCACAATTTATCCTTTTCACCTTTTGACGTTATATGCGATCTGTTAACTCGTCGTTGATTGATGGTATGCGCAAAAACTAATTGTGGTGTGTGAGAAGTTGATCTAATTGCAATATTATATGAATCGTCCAATTTATTTCAGTAGATAGTTGCCTTCTCAATCGCCAATTTTAACCTCTTAATTAACGATCTAACTGTCCATCCATTACAGAAACTTATTTAGAGATGACGACAAGTTCTAACAGCAACCCAGTGTGTGCCGATATCTTCGTTGAATCTTCTTTTTTTGCACATACATGTATAAGGCAACTTACGATTTATTCGCAAAAATGTGACGCAATCTTATCGCAAAATGATTGTAGGTGTCATGAAATCGGAGAATTTCGCAAAGTCTAGAATAATTATCATAAATTAAACGTATATTTCTCCGGTTTTCTCTATTGTAATTCGCAATGTTAAATATCGTGAACATATCGGAATAACGCGACCAATTTAAATTTTTTCGATAAGTTGAATGAAATCTTTTTCATCGTCTTGAAATCATGATTATTACCTTTCGTCGAGTATCGTGTGAGTCATTCGCGTGCAATTATACCGAGTACAAGAAGTCAGATCGATGTGAATCTTAAACAAATGATGCAACGAACAATTATTCAATTGAAATGAGAAAGTAAGAGAAAACGTGGAACAAATTAATCGAATTCGCGCGTGCCAATCTCTCAAATTTTTATGGCAAAGCCATTTTGCGATTAATTGCATCACGATTATGCGAGAACAGGGTGTCTGGAATTCTCAGAAATTTCGTTTTTACGTTGAAAAAATCAGGGAATTCTCATGGAATTTTATTCGAACACAGGGAATTTTTTCAAAATTTCTCTTTTTGATCATTTTGTTCTTATATCGCAAGCATCGGCAATCTGATGGACCAACGATTGTGTGAATTATATGTTTCAAATATATTATAAATATATATCTTTCTCTTTGATTATATGTTCATTGTCAAAAAATACTGAATACACAAATACTGAGTACACATTTTTTATTGTAATTCTTACAATTAATAATAGAAAATGAAAATATTATGCAAATGAAGAATATTTATCTTACAAAAGTCATTTAGTTCTTTCCAGAATATTTTAAAATTTAATATTTAAAATTTAAGTGGTTTATTTTTTCTTTGTATGAAAAGCATTAGAAAAAGCACATAAAAAAACATATTTTAAGAAGTTCCATCTAAAAATTATCTAATTTTACCTGGAATTTTGAACAAATTACCTGAAAAATTAGGGAATTCTCAGGGAATTCTTTTTACAAGCTTTGAATAGACACCCTGGAGAATAGTGCTGCATGAGTATAAAAGATCGTCGTAGGCTAGTAAAAATATACGATGCGTTATTGTTAATATATATATCCAACTTTTACTGAAAGCCATTACAAAATTTCGTATTCTACGACGATTTTTTGTTCTAGCGTAACACGGTACTCTTACATACGCTTACGAATCGATCAGAACTCGGACGCAATTTGCGTGCTGTATTTCTGATTCGGTTTTCGATAGTGTGCTCGATTGGAAGAAGTGATTCATTTACGAGGACGCGGTTAAAACGATTAAGAAAATTGATGTTGATGCACATTAGTTTAGGCTGCTATTTAGAAACATGTTTTAATTTGAATACGAATTCTGACAAAAGTATGCTTAAACATACAAAGCGCGCGCATATTAATTTCTATAGATAATCACATTAATGTAATCAATTTTCTCAATCTATATTATATATTTGAAGTCCGTTTTTAAATGATCTATAATTCGCGAAAAAAAATTTAGGACAAATCTAATTTTTAAAAATATGTCGCATATTCTAATATTGTACATGAATGTATTCTGATGTTTTTTTGTACATATGTATATTTTCAAATATTTCTTGCATTAATCAACATATGAAATTATAAATAAAACTCTGTTTTGAGTTTTGTCGCGAATTACAGATCGTCTAAAGTGAATTTAAAAAATACATCATACTTCTTGCCAAAGATGTATTGATTCTCCTTTCCGTGAAATAGTAATTGTACACACTGGTGGATTAAATGCAAATCTCATCGCGCGCACTTTAGATCTTGATGAGCTCGTCAGCGGACTTTGAGCGCATAAAGAGAGAATCTAAGCCCATAATTCTTCCAATCGCGGTAACGACGACGACAACGACGACGAGACGCCAGTGTCTCGTCGTCTCGCCGCCTCCGAAGTTTTCAGAGGCAGCGAAGTCGCCGAGAAGGAGGAAGGGAACACATGTTAGAAACCGTGTATGTATGTATCGTTTACAACAGGTCGCCCGTAAATTGGCCATGGTTGAGGCCGATCTAGAACGCGCCGAGGAGCGTGCCGAGGCCGGAGAGTCGTAAGCATCGTTTTTATTTAGGCATCTCTTTCGCCCGGCACACTTTTTGTCCCGAGTGTGTGAATTTTTTTTCCTCTCCTCTCTCCCAGGCGCCCCCTTTCTTCTCATTTCGCATTTCGTCGATCGCGCTTCGATTCACTCCCATAACTTTTGACATCGTTAACCCGCGCCACGTCATCAATGACGGCGAAGACGGGAATACCCTTTAATCACCCCCGTGCTCGATACTGTTGCACGATACTTTTTGTGATAGCATTGTATCGTTAAGGTCGTTGTGGAGTATACGAATTAATATCTCTTAGTAGGAAAAGCTAGGATTACGAAACGTTAATCTAATTGTTAAGAAAAATACTGCCAGATGTCTTCTAAATAATATCTGGATAGTAATAATGGCTTTTCTCTACGGATATCTTCTGCGTCTGAGGAAAATAAGCAAAAGTTTTGTTGAATTATATCGGATTTGGTACAACATTGTAAATTGTTGTCAATTTTTGTGCCCATAGTAATATATACATTCAAAATCATTTATTCCATTATCTAATTGTACTAGTCTACAATATAATTTGTCCTAAAAAAGAATTACTTATGGACGCAGATGTGCAGATGATTTTTATATGTGATTTTACTTAATATTGCGGCACTGTGCACACTAATCTTTCAACAGCTGGAAGGCGCCTTTAGAAGCCAGGAGAATGACACTTATTGATGACATTTTATGCTCTGCATGCTGACATCTAAATTTTTTTTATTACTATTTTATATCCACCTCACCTTTGCTTTTGCGCATGACATGTGTGGCTGTTGATCACAGGTTGCCAGGAAACTAGTCATGATGGAACAGGATCTCGAACGCGCCGAGGAAAAGGCCGAGCTTTCCGAATCGTAAGTGCAATCACATGCATGCGCCCCTTTTTTCTCTATGTGAGACACAATGCGATTTCCTTGCTATCGTTCGCTTGTTATGTCGTTCAGAAATTTAAATTACTGTCGAACGTTTCGGTATAAAAATTTTACAACGTGGACATAAATTAATAAAATTTTTTATTGGTATCAAATTCGATATTACGATAAAATCTAATCTTAATTATTTTTTATATAGAATTTGGAATAAATTCTGTTTTTGTTAAATCTATTTCCTCTTGAATTATTTAATTATAATAGTAACGGATTACATTACAAGATCATTGGAAACGTTCGTATGTAGTTTCGATATTTTCTGCTCTCTCTCTCTCTCTCTCCCTCTTATACGACAACCCACAAATTTCAAAATCTCATTTATTAATTTATATTAAACAGTTAATGAATTAACTTTTTACAGCAAGATCGTAGAGCTTGAAGAAGAGTTACGTGTCGTCGGCAATAACTTGAAGTCTCTCGAGGTCTCTGAGGAAAAGGTAAATGATTTATGTATTTTATGCGCGATATACAACATAATCAGAGCGGAACATAATTCCGTGGATTATATCCTTAATTCGCTCCTTAATTCTCATTTTATGCTACAATAGCTTCTTCAACTGCCAATTAGTCCACATTTAATACCGGATAATGTTATGGATAGAAAGTAAATTAGATGCATCCTTTTCTAGTATATAATTTGATCATAATGCGTAAATTAAATCGATGAAATTGACAATAATTGAGAATCGTGTTGGCATCAATTTTAAGATAAACGTCACTTTACGTTAAGCACAGTCTAGAATATCTTATAATCAAATGTTCCGGAGAAAGTTAAACCATTGTTATACGGGAGAAAAATAATATCTACGTGATTGTATATAGGCCAACCAGCGCGAGGAGGAATACAAGAACCAAATTAAGACCCTTACGACCCGTCTAAAGGAGGTACACATCCTTTGGGAGTGTTTTGCTTTTGCATTTTCGATAATGTGTGATCCATCCTCGCGTCATAGATCTTGCCACTAAAATATTAACTCGTATGCCTCTATTGTTTTATATCTGACCCCGTTTTTTAATAAATAATAGCGTTTTGCGTTGCAGTAAACTAATGATAGCTCGTCTTGTCTTTTGTTGTGCTTGATTAAAAATAGGCAACGCAAAGAGAGGAGACGTTCGAGGGCCAGGTGAAGATTCTGGATAGTCAATTGAAAGAGGTAAGTGTATATGAAAGCGAACAGGGGATTAAGATACTTGAAATATATATGAGAAAATATATACAGACTATGATTATATGTATTGCCGTTTCAATTCCGATAAAAAATGTCTGAAAAAGAAAATAAAAAGATATCTAGAATAAATATCTGCAAAAAAGTAGCTCTTTAACTGTATACTTGTGCTGTACGAAATACATATAAAATCGTTTACGAAGAGCACATGAATCTTTTGAAGTCTTTATAAATGTTAACTAAATCCACTTCATAGATCACATCACGAGGTATGATCCACACGAGTGTATTGTATTAATAGTATTGTAAGTTTTTTTAATGACCATATTGTCCGAAAAAGTGAAACTGTTTACATTAATAGCATATTAATCATGCAATATATAGTGCATCGCAACTAAACCTTTCAAAGCTTCGATTTTAGATCCATTTGCGATTGCAATCGTGTGTAATACAAAATTCATTTTACTTGCATGGCGTGAAAAAATGATATTAATCCAAGATTGATAATCTCAATGATTTCAAGAAAGCAAAACACTTGTAAATTTAGCGGAAAAATTATATATTTTTGCTTATACTCTACTCTAAGAGACAGTTAAAACGAAAAATGTTCTCTTTTTTCTTTTTTGAAATCGATGAGTCATTTTAATAAAATTGTAATTTTCTTATTGACATACAAATATGTTGTATTTGCGTAGGCTGAAGCACGTGCCGAGTTCGCGGAAAGATCCGTGCAGAAACTCCAGAAGGAGGTTGACAGGCTCGAAGGTATGTATATAGTAAAGAAACGTATGTTTAATCGTTTCATCTTCATTTTATCCGTTTTTAGAAGAAAAAAAAAATATATTTGGACATCATCATTTTTTCAATATCAATTATTCTCATTATACTCTTTGATACATGATTTATCTTATTTTATTTATTTATTTGTAAATTCAACTAGATTTTTTGAATGCATTAATATACTTTTTATCTTAAGTATATAGATTTTATGATACAGGATGGTCCGTAATTCGTGGCGCAACCGGCAAGAGGCTGATTATTTATGAAAAAATAAGTCAAAATTGCAGAATAAAATTTTTAAATTTCATTTTTTTAATTAATACAGATTTTTTTTTAGTAAATTTTGATTTACATATCCTACGCGCACTGTAAACAGAAGAGTAAATAGTGGTCTGTATCGAGAGGATAACGATCGTGTTCTTAATATATATCGACAAAAAATTCTATATATTTTTTTCCATTAAATAGCGACAAATTATTTACGTTTTATTGCTATATTATTAATGGCTATATCTATATGTTTATACCCAGTGAAAAATCATAGGTCGAAAAGACGGCTATTAGACATCTATAGATGTTTATAGACATCTAACAGACACCTAATACACGTTTTTTCGATTGGTATTTCTCACTGGATATATTGTATATTATTAATGTATTTCAATGTTCATATATATAGGGTGGTCTGTAATTCGTGGTACAACCGGCAAGAAGCTGATTCTTCATGAAAAAATAAGTCGAAATTGCAGAACGAAATTTACAAATTTCATTTTTTTAATTAAAAAATAATTTTTTTAGGAAATTTTCAACAGGAAATAGCGTGTCTCATTTTAATTTACATATCCTGTGTTAAAATGCGCACTGGATACTGTAACAGAAGAGTAAATAGTGGTCTGTATCGAGATCCGCTCAACGGCGTTCTTAGTCAAGTGCATGCGTACTCAACTCTAATATTTAAAATCGATTTTATCAAAAAAAGCCCCATATGAAAAAATTTCATTCTGCAATTTTGATTTATTTTTTCATGAAGAATCAGCCTCTTGCCAGTTGTACCACGAATTATGGGCCACCTTATATAAACCGAATTTTTTATCATGTGGAAAGAGAAAGAGAAACAAATTCAACAAGAAGGTTTTTATTATGGATGACATTCACAAGGATCGGAAATTATTTTCTATCCTATCTAAGCAGCTAAATTTTTTACGAATTGATGTCATTCTTGAAAGAATTTGTAATTGAATTCTTGAGTTAAAGACATAATAAATTGAAAACTAATTGTTATATATACAGGGTATTCCATTTAACTCTTACACCTCAAATAACTCCGTTACTTTTACATATACAAAAAAAATGGTAAAGGAAGAAGTTATATGAATCAAAGGGGGAAACACGATGGTGAAATTAAAAAGTCGTATTAAGATCATTTTGAATGTTATTTCAAGGTCATTGATTTTTTAAATGGAATCATATGGTTTTAGATAGATGATGTTTTAACTGATTTCAAAAGGAATTCAACTATATATAATAACATGATCTTCAGGTAACCTTGTGCTCCAAATTCATGCTTCAAAAACCTTGAAATAACATTCAGAATGACCTTAATACATTTTTTAATTTCACCATCGTGTTTCCCCCTTTGATTCATACTTCTTCCTTTACTATTTTTTTGTATATGTAAAAGTAATGGAATTATTTGAGATATAAGAGTTAAATGAAACACCCTGTATATATATGAATTAATATTTACAAATTTAATCTTTTTAAGAAGGTAGAGATAAATGGTAGCAAAAGAAAATTTTTATATTTAGAAAACTCCTAAATATTGAAATAATTAAATATCAAATCAAATATATGGAATGTATGTTGATCAGTTTTTCTAATTATGATATGCACAAGAATATAGCGATTCGACAATCGTAAAGCAATTCCCGTTTTTTCGTTGTGTGTATATGTATGTGTGTGTGTGTGTGTGTGCTGTTTTATTTGCGCAATTGACCCATCTAACCGCCGAAACGCAGTGTATTACGCTCGCGTGTGGCTTGCCGTGTGTTACTTCCCTTTAACCAGTGATCTTTACAGACGACCTCACGGCCGAGAGAGAGAAAAACAAAATGCTGCAGGAGGAGATGGAGGCCACTCTGCATGACATCCAGAACATGTAGATCATGTTTTTCGCGATGGACAAAACGCGAGAACGTTTATAGATAGAAAGAGCGGAAACACTTACGAGAAAAAAAAGAAAGAAAACGAGAGAGAAAAGAAAATGCGAGCGAATAGTATAACGGCGGCAACGAGAAGAAGTGAATGAGAAACAAACACGCGCGTTACGACGCGAGCGTTTCGTGTGGTGCACACCTTAATATTAATGGATAAAAATGCAGTCTAGCCTTATACCCTCCATTACGTCCATCCGCATTACGTGTACGTATTATGTGTGTTCATATGCACACGTGTGTGTATACGTGTGTCTGTGTACGTCACGTATGCCTATCTGTAGGCGCGTGACGCAAAATGCACAAGCTGATAAAAGATGAGAGAAAAGAGGAGACAATGAAAGAATATGTGTGTGCGTGCGTGCGCACGCGCGCGCGCGCGCGCGTGTGTGTGTGTGCGGAAAAGAAAGACATAAAACGAGAGGATTAGAATACGGCAGAAAGAGACAAAGAGAGGATGTAAAAGATAGAGAGAGAATGAGAAAGAAAAAAAAATAATACGCGACAAGGACGGTAGGATTTCGTAAATAATATGAAGTTACTTGTAATCGAAATCTGATTTTAGTTTTAGATTTTAGCTTGTAGTCTGCCTTCAAATTTTAATTCGATAAAAATTGAGGTATGGCTGCGACCGGTATGAGGTGTCTTCGAGCTCGTCGCGATTCAAATTTCGTTAAGAAAATGGTTACTAATCGTGGGAGGAATATGTGAATAGAGAGAAATTAGAGAAAAGTAGAATGGGAAAAAGAAGAGAGAGGAACTCACGCGGATCGGTTTATTTGTATCGAGAGAGGAAAAGTCCCAAAAGATTTCGAAATTAATTTTCTCGAGTATATCAATTTTATGCGCCAAAAACAATGCATGCGTATGTGTTTTTAAGTATAATCTATTATATATATAATATATTGTACTTACTACATAATTATACAGTAAGCCGCGCTCAACTCATCTAAAAGATTCTCTCTAAAAAGAATGATTATTAAGTAATAAAACTTTTAGAAGTGACTTTTACGAAAATTTTTTTATCCATCAATTGATTAGGCGAGCATTTTATCGAAGTTGTGTGCTTCTCTCGATACAAAAAAATACGCAGACTCTTACATAATGGAGGGAAACAGTGCTCATTTTTTTTTCCGTTGCCTTACATTCCTCATTTCACGCGGCTCAGCTTGCGCGAGAAGAAAAAAAAAACTCGTCAGTTTCTTTCATTTATCTGTTTTTCTTAAAGATATTATCGCGTTATCCTCTTATTGCCGCCGATGAGAACAAAGACGACAACGAGCAATACCTGTGCATTTAAGATAATTCCACTGCCAGATCCATCAATTTTTAAAAAATATATCTTCGTAATATGTCTTTGTCTTCTCATTATGCGTTGTGCAATACTCGATTAAACAGATGAAACTAAACGCACCAATACAATATTGCCATAATTCCGATTTTTTTTTCTTGTAGCATTAAATAATCGAGAATTACATGTCTTTTTGGCCTAGCAACTCACACGTGTGTATCACGTATGTAGAGTGGGTTAACTTTGAGCCTACGAATAATTGGCCAACGCATGATGCTTAAGATTATGGGAACAACAGGGAAGCAACTGACTTTTTTATATCACGTTGCAGCTTCCCGTGCCAGCTGAGCCACTCCGACATTTACCGATCGTGCCTGTATATATATTTACATAAATACTAATCACCTCGGCCAGAGAAACCTCTATGCAGGAAACGTGCTTTGTTTCGAACGTAATAGCAGACGAGAGCTCGAAAATAATAACAGATCGAATATCCAATGCTTGTTTCATTTCTCGGGCACATAATTCGTCCTTAATACTATTAATTGATACTATTGATTGATACGCAATTATCATTAACATCACTGCTATTTCACGCTCGCCACTGAACATCGCTAACTCCAGGTAGAAATTTTCTCTCTCTTCCAATCTCTTTTTTTTTAATAAAAATCGTATTTATGTCGCGTATACTGCCTCGACCTCGATGTCGTAACTCGTCATGGTTATTTTTATAGCACTTTTCCTGCAACATATTCTTGGATGGCCTTTTGATGTAGGAATGTGCATCGTCCTCTTTCCGTTTCGATATATAAATGCATGTTCATTACTCTTTCTCTCTCTCTCGCATGATAATTGAATAATCGTGAAGGTACGAAGCTATCTAATAGAATAGATTTAGTACGCTCGGGATTGACTCCTGGCGATGAAACAATTGCTATGAAACGTTAGGAAAGAGATAAAGGAAACTTTTGCATGAGATGCAAAATCTTAATCTTAATAATTAGCTCTTCACGATTTTGTTTCGCGATTTTGAGTCGCGTTGATCTATATTGTACAAATTGAGATAATTCTGTTCTAATACACAATCATAGTATTAATAATAATTATTAGGTGAACTTTAATTATTATCATATGTAATATTAACATCACGTTATCTATTAAATATTTTGTTCGAAAATCCGGATTACTTCAAATTATACATTTCGCAAAAGCGATAGTTATATTTATGCGAAGATGACGATGAACTAACAAATATACAATAACACGTATACGTTATCGAAAGGCCACCCGAAGACAGCGTTTTTCGAAATAACGTCACGTGCAAACGTTATAAAAAAACAGGAAAGTAATCGCGAAAAGCACAACTACGAGACAAACACATGTCCTATCGTTGATTTTTGTTAGCCTCGTTTTTTTCTTTTTGAATAATGCTAAATTTATGGAAATGCAGATGTTTGAGTTTAAGAGAGTTTTAGTTTTTATTAATTTACTTAATATTAATGAGAAAAATATGTGAATGAAATGATAATAACACTAATATCATTGTAATATTAATGAATATTATATATATATACATATAGAATTAGAGGTGCATATTACATATCTATCTGTTATAAATAATATAACACAAATTAGTCATATTCAACCGTGTTTAAAATATATATATATATATATATATTACTATTATTATAAAACTGTTTATAATATATATTTTAATTTTGAAAAAAGAGTGTTGTTTTTGTTTTTCGTTGTGTCGTTACCTCTTTTTTTTTTTACCTACGCTAACATTAACCCTACCCGCGTTAACATAACGACATAACTACATATCCACGCGATAACACTGTGTGGCCGCCTTTGTTGTTAAACAGCCCTGTAACAAGTTGCATGATAAACGAAGAAAGAGCGTGGTACGTATACCTTATTTACGGTGAGTAAATCCGCTTAATATCGGGTTTTGCTATTTAACGCATGACAAATCTTACATATTAATATTATTAAATATCACGATTGTCTTTATCTCTATCATAATTACAATTACTTTCGCAGATATGCCTTTTCAATTATCTGCACAATCTTTCACTGATATTGAAATATTTTTACGTTATCGATATCTGCCAGTATAGATATACATCAGCATTATCATTTAATTATATTAACGATACTGCATCCTCAAAAGAATTAATAAAAATTGAGTTTAGTTCAACGAATATATTTAATTTAAATATATAGAAACCATCAGTAAAGTTAAGAGAACAGCATACAGGTATAGATAAAAATACAAATGATATCTAATCGGAGGACATTAGCGATAATTTAAATGAGATTAATGAATAATTTTTAGCCGCACATATCAAGATTCGCCTTCCTTATTAAATCTGTTAGATCATATATTAATTTAAGTTTAATTCATTTAATTTAATTTCACTTCTTAACCGATTCAATCACGTGCCTGCTTATTTATGCGATTTTAACAAATATTAAATGCTTTAATTTTCATTACATATCTCTTCAATACTGTTTCGAGCACTTCACATACCACGCATTAATAAACAAATTAAAATTAAATAGCAGCTATACCATTGCAAATGCTTACAGACGAGATGGTGACCGAAAAGGAGAAATTCAAGGAAGTCGGGGACGGCCTGGATAATGCGTTCTTCGAGCTTTACGGCGTCTAACGCAGCTAATTATCTTCCTAACACTTAAAAAACAATTTAAAAAAAAAAAAGAAAAAATTATCGAACCTTTCTTACAAATCTAGCTTGCACTTAACACATATTCCGTAAGTTATCCATCTACGCTTTTTAACCCGCTTGCTGCTATTAACCACAGCTTTCTAATTAAATCACTTAAATGAATCTTTTATCATGTTTTAAGAGCGCGCGATAATATCATCTTAATATCGGTTTCATATCTTTTTCTATACTGGTTTTAAAATTAAATATTTGATATACTTAATAATTAGATCAAAACCGCATAATATTTTATTTTATCTCAAAATGAATATTAAGATACAATTGATTAAGGTATGATGAGCGAGATATTTTTATGATACTGTTTTCTTGCAGACGAACTCGTCCACGAGAAGGAGAAATACAAATACATCTGCGACGACCTGGACCTCACTTTTACCGAATTGGTTGGTTAAATCGGTTTACCGAATATTCGCATCCGCTGTCGAACTATTTGTACACCAACACTTCGATTCGATCGCGGTCAACTCGCGACATGATGCATATACTTTTGTTATCGAGTAACTAATAAAATCAATGTATTATAAATACGTTCCGCGTTCTCTAAATATGCTCGTTTTTTTATTTATCAACAATTTCATTGCACTTTCGGCTTTCAGAGAACGTAGAGCAGTCATAGAGCCGCGATTATTTATTTATTTCGAAAACACCTCTTATAATGTATGTATATATATCAATCAAAATTGCAAATATAATTTCTAACGTAGTTATATTGCATTACGCTGCTTTAACAATCAAGCACGCGGTAAATAGAGCGAAAAGAAGAATACAATCCGATCTCTGTATCATTAAAAACACATTATTGAGTTCTGAAAACATTTTGATGATTCGATCCTCCGTTATAAATAACGCGATTTGAAATTGTCAATGCTATAAGGCCATCTTTGTTTCGAACACTCCCCCAAAAAGAACAAATAAAAAAATATCAGAATTTAATGCACTGCTGTTTCTTTCACATTTAAAATATATCCTGTTCCTTAAGCTCAAATAAACTGCGATTTGTCCGTTCCTGAAGACACAAATTTCGATGAAATGTCTATTATATAGTGACTTAAAATCTTACATTTAATCCGATTTTCTTCTACGCGCGCAAAGTAAGTATCATGTAACAAAAACCAATGCTATTCTTTAAATATGTTCTGGATCAAAGAGCAAAACTTGATATTTTATTGTCCTTTTTTTTACTTTCACTTAAGCCATTTTGTGAATGTAATGGTCGTCTAATTCCAAGCATCAATACAAGCTTGCAACAAACCATAAGACTATATGTTGTGTGGTCTCTTTCTCTTTCCAATTAAAAATATTAAAATGTATACCTGACTAACCATCGTGCCGTCCACTAATACCACGTTCCCTCCCTTCTCATTGCAGACGTGCTGGTAAACGAGCGCTGTAAATACAAAGCGATCGCCGACGAAATGGATCAGACGTTTGCCGATCTCGCTGGATATTAGCAGGCAGGCTAAGCGTACAACAGAGGTATTATACTTATGCGGGAAAAAAAGATAAAAGAAAAAAAAGATAGTCCACGCTACGATAAAGTGATACTGCCAGCACGCGGATCCTTCGCCACACGTTGTCGTTCAATACATTCTACACGTACCCCTTCGAGAGAGACGAGGGGGATCATCGGCTAACATTTAGTCGCGCAGCGTGACACTCGATAGACGATCCGTAGAACTTAATGGTCTCAAATCGAGTTATTCGTCGAAAACATCATTACATGTTTTACATTCCTCAACTTACTAGAATTTATTTTGAAGAAGCTCATTCCAGAATTTTGTAAAAATTTAAATTTTCTATAGTAATTACCTCTCACAGAAGAGAGAAAATCTCGTTTGAACGATATGAATGTATAAGGTATTGATTGCGTCCGAAGAAAAGTTCGAAAAAGATTTTCTTCCAAATCCTGGCACGAAATTCCCATTCCATGATCTATAATTATTTATTAAACATTGGTTCTATCCATTTATTTGCGCCTATACCTGTCTGCACAACAATCTTATCTTATTCTTTATGTCTAATTAATATCTATTATTTTCAAGATTAAATATATTATATATGACATATAATCTCCATTATTTCTAAGATTTATATGCGCAATTTATATTATTCCCCTAAACTTGCCTATTTTCTCATCTGTAACGGTATTAACTGTTAAAAAACCTTTAACAAGATAAATTACTTTCATTTTGCTCAATTGCATAATTTCTATTGAGAACTCGCGTATCGAAAGTTGCGCTGTTTCATCAACTAAAGTGTATAAACACATGCGAGACGAAAACGAAATGTTTGCGCAAAGGATTTTGTCCACACTCGATCTTAATCTATGTCGAAAATCCATATGGCCTTAAATATCACATCTTAGGTCATTGTTATTGCGACAAATGTGTTCAAGGCACGTTTATAAGCAGGAAACGGAAACAAGCTGTATAAAATCTTTCGATAATTATACCGATTTGTACCTCTATCCTATAAATATGAATTTAAAGAAAGGAATGATTGCTAATAAATATCATTAGAGTGCAATATATAAAAATACATAATGATAAGCGTACGAAAATTTCCTGCTTATAAAATTTCAATTTTATTTCAGAGGCAGCGCTAACATTCTCGTCGATCAATCATGAATTTTCTTTATATTTGCGCATTCCACCGTACGATTAGACAGTGCGGTCTAATTAGTCAGTATAATGCTTAAGTTTTTTTTTCCATTACATATTAAGGAATACTATGTATCGTATCCATACTTTCAAGTCACGCTTCTATGTTGTATCGTGCAGTATTGTGTTAAAGCATAAATTACCACAATTGATCCGCTAAAGTAAAATATCTTGTTCCAAGTGAACGAAATATAGTGTTCATTATAGCATATAAATAAAGTTGCTTCTATGATATATAGAAAAGGTTTGCAAAGCGATCTGGGCTGGATTATGATAAAAAATGTGCGAAAAATGTGCATAAGATAGAGTAATATTACATATACAATAGCGAGAAATGTACGCTTGAAAGGAGCGAATTAAGAAGTCGATAAGTTCGATATTATCACGGCTCTCAGTAACATGCATTAATGCTGAAAATTTTATATCTTACTCTTTTTCATGTTAATTCTCAAAATAGTTTGAGGATCATGCATGATCACGCAAATTATCGAGATTGACGATTGAAATTTTGCGATGGACCAAGCTCAGAGACTTTCAAACATGCACTTGATGCAGCGATCTTGACTATCTTATGTGATATCTATTATTATTTGATTGTATTTATATTACTTTCAATAAACATGCATATTTTATATCTCTGCATACTAAATGTCTTACTCGTTTTTGCAATCTTGTCATTCATTAGTAACGAGTCATTTGACTGCGATAATTGTTTTACAACTAATTTATTTCACAGCTGCTATGTGACTAATCAGCGGAACTTGCAATGTCCATTTAACAGTATTAAATGTAATAAACTTTACCACTCTATCATGATGATACAATTTTATCGTAATATCGTGTGGTCATGCCAAAAAAATAGATGCTCTTTTAACTCTTAAAAATATGGATATAGCATAGTAAAATAAATATAAAAACACATTACAGTCTCTGAAAAAACTCTAATTATGTTTATCTTAACGAGGATATATACATTGTATATAAGCGTAGAGATATTTTTCGTGAATACCAAGTTTATGGCTAAAAATGGAAGAACGAATGAAAATAAATTATACCATGATAAAATAGAAACGATAGATGTGCGTTTTATGATTCGTAAATATGAAAAAGAAAGTTTTTTCGAAAGAAGGGGGATGGCTGTTGTGAATCTGCAATTAATAAATCGTAGATTTATATAACATATACATATTCATTATTTATGATTTGATACGATAATATAATATTATTTGTCTAAACACAACGCTAATATATATTTCTGTATCTTGCAATTAAAATTTGAAATTCTCTTATCAGCCTAATAATTACAAAAGTGCTGAGTAACATATTTCCAAAAATATCATTCTCTTTACTTATAAACGAGGTCGAACGACATCATGCGTGGCGCGCAAACAACGAATTATTTTATTCCTTTACATGTTTCGTTAATCTGCATAGTTCCATCGGACGTCGTTTTACAGTATAATCCGTCTATTCAGGTAAATGCGATGTAAATACATTTCTGAGGAATTAGTTTAACATTAATTTGGAAATACAATGATAAATCCGATAAGGACCTAAGAAGTACCCTGTGATGGCAACATAATGTTTTATCAGCGATCGCAATTTAGCCGCGATTATTTTTACGTCTTAACAAAAACGCAATCAGCCAAACTAAAAATGTCATACTGGCCAATATGGCTCATATTGTGCTCTAGAAACGCGAATTTTTTCAAAAAACTATTGGATATAAACTAAATACAGATCGTGTACTTTCAATTAAAAATTCTCGAGTTATTCGGTAACCTCAGAATCGCCAAACGATACAATAACTTATATCAATATATATAAATGTAATTTTCGAAATGCAAAGCGTACAAATGTGGACCGTATAAAATAAAACTTAAAAGCTATGCGGTAAATATTGATTAATTGTCGTTATTTAATTGGAAATCAATAATGGTATTTAACGATTATATTCTCATGCTTCTCGTAGTTAGAAAGGAAGGCAAGTGTCAGCATCTCTTTTTCGCATCAACAATATTATGTTCTCCATTATTTTAATTTGGTTGACTTTTAGAATTTTTTGTATCCTGATTATTTTACATACACTAATCAGACTACATTATCGCGGCAAATTGTTGCGTAGTAAAAACCTTCGTATTACAAATAACAGTGTACTCTTTCATGCAGCTATATGTATAAAAGATATCTATACTGCTAATTAACAGCCTATATGTATATAAGGCACATTGTATAGGTTTTTTACAAATATAAATGCGTAAATTTTGGAATCCTATTTCTTATTATTAGAAAAAAATTACGTATTATCACGAATAAAATACTATTTTATGAACATCTTCGAAAGAAATAATAGAAATCGAGCAGATGATATAAAGATAAGAATATCAAGCATTAGCTATGAATGCAAAATGATCAGAAATATAAAAATTTGAATAATTAATATTAGAGTTGCAGTTTATATCGAATATAACAAGTAACGTAATCTTCTCGTCAATAAAAAGAATGATCGACAGAAAAACTTAAAAAGTCTTTTCATTGAATCAAATTAACAAATATTTTTTGATATCTTAATAATAAAATTTAAATTTGCCAATTGCTTTTTCAAGAAAAGGAATATCGAAGTCAAGAAATAACGTTAATTTAATAACTGTGAACTGTGTAATAACAAAGAAGTAAAACGCTTCGAAGTAGAAAGTGATTCGCACAAAGACATCTTTTATACTTGGCTCTAATTGCTAATTAGCACTATACATATATCACTCCACGAACTGTCGAAATTCTAATTTTAATTGACATAATTTATCGCAGTTATATAGAGTTTGGTCCCATTATGGAATTCTATAACATGTAACAACTATACATGTATATTGTCATTTGGAAGTCGGTTGCTGAAGACTACTAGCGTCAAATTGGAATACTCATGAAAAACGCGTTTTAGAGCATTTATAAAACTGACTTCAAAATTTATAATTCACAAATCTATTTGTCTCTCTTCTATCGGTGTATTTTAGAGAAACTCAACTTTATCCAAATAGACATCGATATGATGTCAAGATAAGAATGATTGATCAGAATCGCCAAACGATACAATAACTTATATCAATATATATAAATGTAATTTTCGAAATGCAAAGCGTACAAATGTGGACCGTATAAAATAAAACTTAAAAGCTATGCGGTAAATATTGATTAATTGTCGTTATTTAATTGGAAATCAATAATGGTATTTAACGATTATATTCTCATGCTTCTCGTAGTTAGAAAGGAAGGCAAGTGTCAGCATCTCTTTTTCGCATCAACAATATTATGTTCTCCATTATTTTAATTTGGTTGACTTTTAGAATTTTTTGTATCCTGATTATTTTACATACACTAATCAGACTACATTATCGCGGCAAATTGTTGCGTAGTAAAAACCTTCGTATTACAAATAACAGTGTACTCTTTCATGCAGCTATATGTATAAAAGATATCTATACTGCTAATTAACAGCCTATATGTATATAAGGCACATTGTATAGGTTTTTTACAAATATAAATGCGTAAATTTTGGAATCCTATTTCTTATTATTAGAAAAAAATTACGTATTATCACGAATAAAATACTATTTTATGAACATCTTCGAAAGAAATAATAGAAATCGAGCAGATGATATAAAGATAAGAATATCAAGCATTAGCTATGAATGCAAAATGATCAGAAATATAAAAATTTGAATAATTAATATTAGAGTTGCAGTTTATATCGAATATAACAAGTAACGTAATCTTCTCGTCAATAAAAAGAATGATCGACAGAAAAACTTAAAAAGTCTTTTCATTGAATCAAATTAACAAATATTTTTTGATATCTTAATAATAAAATTTAAATTTGCCAATTGCTTTTTCAAGAAAAGGAATATCGAAGTCAAGAAATAACGTTAATTTAATAACTGTGAACTGTGTAATAACAAAGAAGTAAAACGCTTCGAAGTAGAAAGTGATTCGCACAAAGACATCTTTTATACTTGGCTCTAATTGCTAATTAGCACTATACATATATCACTCCACGAACTGTCGAAATTCTAATTTTAATTGACATAATTTATCGCAGTTATATAGAGTTTGGTCCCATTATGGAATTCTATAACATGTAACAACTATACATGTATATTGTCATTTGGAAGTCGGTTGCTGAAGACTACTAGCGTCAAATTGGAATACTCATGAAAAACGCGTTTTAGAGCATTTATAAAACTGACTTCAAAATTTATAATTCACAAATCTATTTGTCTCTCTTCTATCGGTGTATTTTAGAGAAACTCAACTTTATCCAAATAGACATCGATATGATGTCAAGATAAGAATGATTGAAAAATTTATATATTAGAATAAAAAAACTAAAGTTTCTCCATGAAACATTTCGGTATCTCGTTTCCTAAAATGACGTTTCGATGAAATGAATAATCTTACGAATAACAAAAACTGGATAGAAGCATTGCTTCGAGTATTGTATCGCGCATTTTTTTTTACTCTCTCTTCTTTCATCAAAACGCACCGATTAAGCGCGCTGCGATCTAAATAACGATAATAGTTAGTTAGCGAATAGAAGCTCGATATGAAAAACAAATATTTAAATCTGCGCCGGTTCGACATAATTAGCAGGTAGCATGCCGTGTCGCCCCGTACGCTGCACCAATCCGGTCATCCAACCCTCGTCGACGGCTGTGCAATTGACGATCAAATCGCCGTCGCAGAAACTCACTTCATCAAGGTCTTGAGCCTCGTAGTCATACATCGCTCTGTATACTCTCTGCAATAGGAGAAAAAAACATATGTAAAATTATATACGGCATATCACATAAATTTGGAACCTAATTTCTTTTATGTTAATTTATACTTTATTTTTCTTTTAATTATTTAAAGAGTTTATTTAAAAAGTTTACTTTGTACAACATATCAATGTTTTTTTTTTATAAAATCATATATATGTATATGATAATTTTCATATCTGAGCATAGTCATAATTTTTATATCTTATATTCAAATAAATCATAATAAACAATATATATGATATAAATAATTAAAAAAAACATTTACCCCAACGTTAGAGGGCGGTGGCGGCGGTTGATGCTGAAGTTGATGCTGATTATTGTTTATTGTTGTGGCTGGCGTTAACGATCCGTAATATTCGTTTACTGGATCGATGTCAGCAACCGAGCCGATTTTTCGTGTCGGCGGATTCGTCACTGCAATGTGTCGTATTTTCACATGTACAAAACATGTAATTTGCAAATAATTATCTAGAATTTTATATAAAAGCTTAATTCATTCTGTTATAAACATTCCTTTATTATCAGTTAATAACAATTGTTATTTAGCGCAATTTGTCGATCTGCGAAAATTATTTCAAACTTTCAGCAATAAGTAAACACGGAACCCACAAAAAGATGATTACAATGATAGATGACTTTCTATTTCTCCAACAAGATGAACGCAGCGATGTCACAACAATTAATTCCAGTGCAAATTGCTTCGACGATTTGTCTTTGTGATGAACCGCGTGAAATAATGTTATGCAGGTATAATGATGCAAATACAAACTGTACGAGTGTTTAAATCTGAAGAGCGATGATAAAATTTTCAAACAACAACACAATCCAACATCGTAATAACTCTGGCGCCTTACAGTGGGGAGCGTGGTTAAGCGTTGTCTATTATATAATCCAATATAAAAACTCGATCTATTAAAAGCACAGCAATGCATGTCTACGCTATTGGTTTCATCCCACGTGATCGTAAGACAGTCGTAGAATACAAAAGATTGGATAAAGTTATCACAATAAAATATATATCATTATAGTAATTCTTTCTTCGCGTTCATCTTTTCCCCCTATCTCGATCATTGATATATATATAAAATTATTCGCAAATAAATATCCAAAATGATATTTTATTAAATTGTCTCAAAATATTTGTTCAATAAATAATATATTCGCGTATGACAATAATTAATAATTATTCATTATACTGTTAATAAAATTAATGATTATTATAATTAATAATATTAAAAAAATTAATAATTATTATATAATTGATTAAAAAATATGTTATGCAATATATTATATATCGACATTTATTATAAATTGATTTTATAAATAATACAATATATTATTCTATGTTGTAATTGTAATAAGATATGTATAATAGTTATGCAACGTCCACATAGCGAATAGTTGCAGCAATTGCAGTCGCGAAGATCAACGCACCTGGTCCCTTATCACTCGTGTAAATGACAGTAGTAGCAGCTTGCCTTGCGGAATAAGGACTTGGCCTCGCTTCGCTAAGGGGATCGTAATCAGCGATCCTACCTGGTGTCCTCTGTACCGGCGAATTCGCCGTTCTTGGAGGCGGCGGATTGGCGTTTAAACTCGATGCAGGGGCGATCGTACCGTCTGTGTACTCTACATATTCTATATCAACAATACACAAGAAAAGCAATAGGTTCAACGAGAAGCGACACAATTTGTCTATCATGAACGGTACGATGAGTGCGTAATGGATAATGAAAAGAAAATAATTCAATGCGTGTTAAGCCTTCATCCGTCTGCATTTTACGCTCTTGTCTTAGTTGATTTTTTAATATATGAAATTAATGCATAAATGAGATATATATGTATATTAGTATGTAAGTTAGAGATTATTATCACAAATAATAATGCACACATTACATAAAATTTGCAATTTAATAATCACACAGATATTACTATGTAAATTATCATTAATTAAAGTGTGTTTAAAGTTGAAAAGATAATTGTTTTATATTGCGCAATTAAATCTGTGAAAGAAATATGTATGATTATTGGTAGAGAATGATTTATGATGAAAAGTTAGATAATTAATGTATAAGTTGTGAGACATTAATGTACATAAAAATAGGGAAAAGAGCATTTCTAATTTAATCAAATTACAAATCACATTTTGATCAATAATATTTTTCGAACATTAATCTGCTGAAAGCAAGTTTATGATTATTTTGTGACAATAACAAGTTTTACATAAATTATTATTATTAGTCCATATCTAATGATTTGAGTTTTTATTACGAAACAATACTAAAATAATAATAAAATAATATCAAAAACATATAATATATGGCAATTATATTTTCCATTAACAGATAAATTAAAGAAATACGATATAATGCAGCAACAATACAAAGAAGATGTACGGTTGTATCATCAAGAAATTCATCACTTACCTATTTGTTCGCCATTTTCTCCCGTCATTGTCCTCTTTTGCTCCATGATCGCCTTCTTCTCGAGCTCGCCGTGATAAGCGACATTCGAGATTATCTTACTGTTTTGCTTGATTCTGAGAGTCTCTGGATCGTCCGCTACCTGCGTAAATTTCCCCTTCGCCTTCTCAAATTCGGCATGGTATTTCACATTACTCTGTATCTTCGTGTTCTCCGCGATACGCTTCAGTTCCGGTGTCTCCGCCATCGTGGTGGCTTTGGCTTTTGGTATGTGTCTATAATAAAACAGTAAAAAAATCGTTAGAGGGTACATTATTATTACAAAAATTATTTATCTAAATCTAAAGTACTGAGCGAAACTTTATATTTCGCAGAATATTCAAAGATTACATTTTTGCCAAATAAAAAAATTACAAGTTGCTTCAAATTTAAAATTTCATTTCTCATTTTTAATACACCCGTTATGTGGTATTTCAGGTGAGTCTCGTGTTTCTTTCTTTTTCTTTAGCGAGAATATCTCGCATATATGAGCCTCTCATATATTATTTTATATAGATTTCTCCAGGCGACCTCCTCTACAAAGGAAACATAGAGGTTCGCTGAATAACGCAAGTTCCAAGTGAACGACAAGCGGTCAACGACGTTAGTCTTATCATGAACATCCTCTCTCTGTGCAGTATGTCGATTATAACGGAGAGGAAAACTGCATACAGCGAATTTATGTTCCTCGGAGAATACGTGACTAAACTCGAAAAATTCGTTTTTTTTTTATCTCCTACATCGTGTATCTACAGGAAGCTTCAATGTGTATTCGCGCACATGATAATGATATTTCCACAAAAGCAACGTTATGATTACGTAGAAATTTACGTCTCCCGGGAATTAGATGCATGGATTTTATGCAAACAATCTACACGGCCTTGTTAAAAATTTCTCTCTAATTGTAAGCCAGTTTTGAGCGTTAAGTTTTTAAGAAAAATTTTCAAAAATTAATATTAATTAATATTTAGTAAATGAGAGAACGCGTGAGAATGCGTTTGAGTGACACACATAAATGTATATCGACGAAGTCGTACGTTGTACCGCGTTAAAAACGCTAATACTGACGTAACAACTAAGGAAATATTGTATTTTGTATTGTGTTAATAGAAATTATACGAACCTGCATATTATTCGTTATTACTTCTTACTATACTTCATGTATATTATAAATATACTATAAAAATTTTAATGTAAAAAATTAAAAAAATATTACTACCTCGTCGAAAACAAATTAAATCAGATCGAAAGCAATTAAAGCGAAGTTTTACCTTAAAAAAATCTTTCCAAAATTATTATAACGACCGAAATGTTTCAACACTAATCAGTCAATATTTTATACGATCGTCAAAGACTCACACAATCGTCGAAGATAGATAATGTAAATCGGCTTTAATACTGTGTACGTATTAACTACTTCTGTCCCGCGGACACGCGCCAGATGTAATCGAGATTTGTGTCACGACTGCGTTTCCCATATACAATGCCTACGCGTTGTCTCACCCGGTAATTGTGCTACGCGATTACGTAATAAGCCGATACAGTGTGTACGAATAATAAGCATGCAACTCCGGTCTCTCTTTGTCCGGAGAAGTCGAGGGATAGTCATTGTTATATGTCCGACGAAAAAGAATTACCTTGTCGACCGATGCGTACTTGAATTCCTCGAATTTAGCGTAGAAAAAGAGGGAAACGCTAAAAATAACGTTGAGAACGGCTGCAAACGAGGAAAATTGGAAAACAATGGGTCCTGTGTGTTTTCTCATGCGATTGCGTACATACATGTTTCTGATTGTTATATGGTAGATGTAAATAATAATATAATAGGTATATATGTATGATAAGGTTGGGAAAGTTACTTTATAAAAGTAACTCGTTACCGTTACCGTTCTTTTTTCTAAAAAGTCCGGTCTTTGCAGAATAGTTTAAATGGCAAGAATCTCAATTCCGAGGAAGCTGTTGAAAACCACCTTACAAACTTTTTTCAAGAAAAACCAAGTTCTTTCTTCAAAAATGGAATCGACAAGCTTGTAGATCGTTGGAAAACCATTGTAGAAAAGAATGGAGACTATATAATTGATTAATAAAAGTGTTATCTCTAAAATATAATCTATTGAAGTTTATATTTAAATCGGGCACGAACTTATGCAATCACCTGATAATATAATAGGTATATATGTATGACAAGGTTGGGAAAGTTACTTTATAAAAGTAACTCGTTACCGTTACCGTTCTTTTTTCTAAAAAGTAACTCGTTACCGTTACTCGTTACCAATTTTAAAAAGTAACTCGTTACCTTTACCGTTACTCAAAAAATAACGAGTCGTTACAATTTCCGTTATTTTTTTATATACAATACAAATTTTCCATTCAATTTTTTTAAATACAAAATCAAATTAAACATTAAAAATTTACACTAAACATTAAAAAAATTTAAACCTTATTTTATATGTGCTACTCGCCTTACAAAGTAGAAAGAAACAAGATACCAAAAAGAGCATTCAGTAGTTTTCATGTAATGCTGTATTCCAACACTCTTATCAATATGTTCTTTTGTATGAAAATTACACCAAGTAAATTAAAAAAAAAGTAACGATAAAAGTAACTGTTAAGTTCGTTACTGAAAAGTGTAACAAAGTTACTTTTTCCGTTACAAACAAAATTTGTAACGCCGTTACCGTTACAGTTACCGAAAAAAATAATTATAATGGTAACAGCGTTACAAGTAACGCGTTACTTCCCAACCCTGATGTATGATAAGAAACAATAATCACGCGAATTTTTTCAGATGATACAATTGCATATACAAATGCAATGAAGGGATTATAATTGAAGATTGGCCAGAGAAATGAAACGTATGAAGAAATAGCTCGCGTTTTAAAACGTTAAATATTTTTTATTCCGATGTTGCGTTTAATAAAAAACAAAATTCTTGCAAGGATTACACAATGTATATCGTATAATATAATGTCATATATTATCGTTTAGTGAGCAATATTGATACATTAAGAGAATATAATATTAAAAGTTAGTAATATAAACTAAAATTAGTATAAGTTAAAATTAGTAATTTAACTTGTATGCTTAAATAATCTTGTTGATTAATAAAGTTGGTTTTAATAGAAAGTTCTACGCAGTAAATATACTAAATATGTGGAAAATTATTACAAACAATTCTGAATTAAGATATATCAGTGATATTTTTTCTCAAAATCAGATGTTATTTTCTCAAAATGCTGTATTTTTTTATAGCTTCGATTACGAACAAAATTATTGTTGTCACAAGCAACTACAAATAAAATATTATATTTTTGTATTAAAAATTTAGTTTATTTAGAGTGTCAAATCCATATAGGTAATTTGCAAATCTTTTTCCCATGAAATCTTTTTCTATTACGAGCTATATATATCGACCACGATATAACATGCGATGATATGATTCATCGAATCATTTAACTATATATACATATGCGCATATACGGCGATGACTAATCTCTTATTAAATACTTGTCTACCTATTAACTATGATATATGTAAGTAATATTTTTTTTATTGAATTTTATTTACGCATTCAATGCATATCTTAGGCAAAAATGGTGGGAGTTTAATACAGATGTGAAAAAAATATACGATTCATATAAAATAAAACAATAAAATATTTCATAAAAATGAAAACTTGAAGTGTTTCATTCGTGGTATTATTTGATATATGTAACATGAAGAATATCCTTTCATTTAAGCAAAAAAGATACTAATTTTATTTGAATGTAATCAGATTTAATGCGTGACAGATATTTTAACATAATGATTCTCTTGTATATTCTTTCGAATATAATAAACAAAGTTAATTATTGTTCATGAGATCATAAATACTAATGTTTCATATCGGACAATGCAAATTTATGCAAGTTCTCTCCTGCGCGTGATAAGATACGATTCATTGTTTAGTAAAACTTCTTTTGCTTATCTGTTTACATAACGCGACGCTGCACATCTACATGTTTGATTTATCAAATATTACGTACATATGTGGGTGCAACCAATGTACCGGAGCAGATAACATCTATTGCACCTGGTTATCGTGCCGGTTTCATAGCAGAGCAACAAGATAGTATCGATAAATTATGGTCATAACATCGCTTACTAAGCGCATAAAAAATTGCACACTAAATTACGTTAGACACATTAAGTATATTAATAATAGAGCTTAGAGAAATAATTAAAAATTGTGTGAAAAAATTGCTTTTTCTATTATTCATAAAACTCAGAACCTTCATATGTTTCTTAATAATTTCAAAAAGGATTTTTTTCTTTTTTTTTATTGAGTTATCATAGTAATCTCACAAATTGATTATAGCTTTGTTAGAAGAGAGAGAAATTTTAAAATATATAAATTTAATACTATCTTTCATTTTTTATTTTCTTCTGGCGTATCTGCAAATTTTTAGATGTATTTGTGCTCTTAATATATCGGCAGGATTTGCAATGTAAATGTGAATTGTATCAGATCTATTGTATCAGAGAATCAAAAATATTGTTTAAAAAATTATTAAGGCTCTCAAGTGAAATCACAAGTTTAAATAATCGCGGGCTATTAAGAGCCAGACGCGGATGGTAGTGCGTCAATTTCAAAGAAAAATAAATTTTCTATATAAAAATATTTTATTATTTTTTTTAGACTTTTTAGAATTTTATCTGAATTTAATCTAATACATTTTCTATTTTTGAAGTTATCTAATAACGATTTTCAATACAAGCAAAAATGGAATAAATGATATTGTAATATAATATTAGAGAATTCGAAACCGCAGTGCGCATTTCTCACGAGAATGATTACGTATACGATATAAAGCGCAATGATATTCGTAACATCTCGCGCAATATCTTGATCTGCTGGGAGAAATTTCTCAGGACGGGTCTATTGGATTCCGTTACTGCGGTTAAATCTCGGATGGCTTCGGTACTTGCCGCTCGTCAATCGTTACGACAAAGCGAAGCCATATCTTTGCCCGCATTCTAGAAATTCTCACGAAGGCCGAGACAAAAGAATGAAAAACCCTAAAGAAAAATTATTTTCCTCACCTTGTTCAAAAAAATTGTTTTCCTCATCTTGTTTAAAAAAGCACCATAAAATTATTTTTTTTCTTCTCTAATGGCAATATATTATTGTGCATATATGAGAGAGAAAGTTGTTACATGAATTCAAAATATAAAACTCTCTATTAAAGAGAAGATT